AAAGAATAATCTAAAAAAAGAAACAAAACCCCTTCCATCTCTCTCAATATCGCTATCTCAACATGCCCCCATCCTTGCAGAAAATCCTTGCCCCACTCTTTGGTCGGCTTGCCTTAATATTTTCCATCTCTCTCTCTCTCTCTCGCGTTTGATCTTATTCTAATCCCTCATGGAACTTCCACTATGCCGCTCTTTGCTACTTCTCTCTCTCTCCTTCTACAACCGCATCTCCCTCACTCTAGTTTGTCTTCCTGGTGCAAACTAGTCACACTCCCCTCACCCTCTTCTCCAACTTTTCAGCACTCCTCAGCTCTTCCTCAACCTTGTCAATAATATCCCTCAACCCACCATTAGCCAACACCAGTAATGCATGGAATTTTTCCTGGCAATCCAATTCCGCCTCCTTTTACAGCTTTATCTATCTCACCCATCAAACTTGGTTAGCGGCAAAACCTTGCTAAAACCACCGCCAATAAAGCTCTCCTTCTCTCCATTTTTCCATCTCCAACTGAAGCCAAAGCCGCCATACTCCTCTCTCTCAATCCCTAAATTATCTGATTCGCCTCCTAGTTAAATCCGCACTGTTGACGACGAAGTTTGACTAGCCACCACAAATTTAGCAACTTGACTGAAATGCAACTATCTTTCTCTTAATTTCTCTCAACTTTTACCTATCCATCTCTCTCAATTGCTCTCGTACTACATTTGTCTACCTCTCTATCTTTTAGCCTTCTTTCTTTATTCTTTTATATAATAATAATAATAAGAATAATACTACTACTACTAATAATAATACTAGTAATAATAAATGATAAGAAAAGAAGAGAGAGAAGGAGAAAAAAAGAAAAACAAAGGGAAAGATTAAATAAATAATGCATTTTAATTTTGCCAAATTCTTATTGTTTCGCCATTTTATCAATATTTCATCTAGCTTGTGCATGCAGGGTATAATGTATGGAGAACTCGCCACAATACTTAAGTACCCATATTTATTTTTTTCTGAGGTAGGTAAATTGTGTATTAGCAAGCTTTTCGTGATGGTGAAAACTTCCATACGCACCTGTCTCAGCATAGTGGGGAGGAAGACTTCATATTGCCAAAATAAAATACTTTGATGTAACATTAAATAATATCTTTCATGCTAGTGTGAAGACACATACACGTTTTTTTCTAGCATACTTGGTTGGAAGTCCTTCACTTGTGTGGCTTATATCTCCCATACACTTATTTCTTACCGTGGTGAGTAGGCTCATCACTCTTTATAGATTCCTCATATGCAGTAGAGAGATCAGGAGGTTGGTTGTCAAACTTTATACTAAACTTAACTTAAAAAAATGTTTAATCGAAAGTATGGGATTAAGGTGAGTTAAAATAAAAATAACAATTACAACTGGGAATTAGATTAACACTTTAAATATTGTGTCTTAATAACAAAATTGCGGAATAGAGAACTTAATAGAATAAGAACAAAAACTTACTGCAGATACGGCCTTTTGAACTTGCAGAATTCCGTGAACTGAAGACCAAATGCTAGTAAAGTGCACGGTGAGAATTCAAATTATTAACTAACATTATCAAATTCTTAGATCACACGTCTAAGCAAGCATAAGGTGATCTTTAAAAACTCTAAATGAAATATCGGCACGCTTCTTATTGCTAAAATATTTGTGCAAACAATGAAATTCGAATAATATCAATTTTTGTACAAATTTTATGTGGCAATCTTCAAGTTAGACATAATGCCTTAAAATACATGCAGGTATTTTGAAAAATATGCGACTAAATGTTGTAGGTGCATCGATAATCATACAAATTTATTAAGAAGCATGCAAGTGCATTCAAAGCGTGAACATATATTGTGTAGGTGCTTCAAAAAGTATATAACGTGTCATGTGAATGCATTAAAAATTGTGCAAACACATAAAAGCTTGCTTGCTTTCCAAAAGATATGTCAAATTGCCAAAATTAATACGTTGCATGTGCTTTGACCAGCACGCTAAACGTTTGCATATAGGGCCGGGAAATGTTTGCAGATGAAAAAATGAGAAACTCAAGTTTGCCTCATCTCGAGGTGTGGCTAGTTGCTCTAAAAGCATTCGTTTTGAAATTCAAAACTCAAACTTAACACATGCATGCACTCTCAAGCAGGCTGCGAGTACAATCCTCCACATCATGAGTGTTGGAATTGATAGTACTTATATTAAAGAATAATATTTAAATTCGTATTCTTGGACCATAAGACTTGTAGTGAACTACATGTTTAAATTCATATTTATGTTCTAATACCATTCACTCATCATCAAGGATGAGAATCAAATATTTTTCAATGAATTACACAAGGTATTTTGTCGTTTATTTATATGCAGTTTTCAAGGCTATTTACCCAAAATAAATAAATAAATCATTTCAAAATGCTTTGGCATTGTTTAACATAAAATAAAGCTTGTTTTTAGCTTATAGACTTGATCCTTTATGATAAAGATAGAGTTTACATGATCTGCATATGGTAATTTTTCAAAATAAATTCACGCTTTTTGCAAATCATGAATTTAATCCTTTACATGGAAGCAAGCTGAGTCAACGAACTCCAAATTAATAAAATATAATATTTGAATGCCTCAATTATGGCCATATTGAAAAAAGATCCTATCTTCAAAGTGGCCTTAAATCTCCAATGCAAGTTATATTGGCACAAATCAAAATTAAAATGGTAAAATATTAATAAAATTTTAAAATGTAAAATATTCAAGCAAAATGTATCACACCGAACTAAAGAGCAAATTTATATGTCATCTACATTAGTTTATAGAGGGTGATAAATTTAAGGTTAACCTAAGCCTATGAAAAGTTATTATTTTATTAACCATGTTTTCATGATTACTGAAAAAATTTCTTGCTAGTTAATATGTGGCATATGTCATTTGATGATGCGTTTTTGTTGTCAAATGACACCACAGAAGGAGCGATTATGATCAAATCTTCTAACTGGGCGTTTAATTGTAAACTAACATAGTTGTATTACAGTCATGTTTGAAAGTTTGGATGTTTCACATTGGCTCAACCCTTATGCATTATAGGGTACTTGGTAGGGCACAAAACTTTTTATCAGTTAAGTTCACTTTGAAACTGTATCCTTAGACAAGCTTCTACTCAGGTTCCTTTAAATGCGATAACCTATGTCTACAGACAATGATATTTTGATTTGATTGAGTCAACTATCTTTTTGACTAAGTTGATCAGTGTCAATGAGAACTCGAGATGATGAAACTACGAGATCTTAAATAGGGTCATCAACCAGACCCATTTTTTCTCCATGCAAATTGTGATAAATTTTTCTCATTCTAAATTCAAACTACTGATACTATAAGTTAAATGTTTAGTATCTAATGATCAGTCTTAATTGAACATTTTCTCTTATAATTGGTGGGTTCATGATATAGACTTATGTTTTCGGAAAATCTGGAAAAAGATTTTTTTGTGCTTGTGAAGTGAGGATAAAATCTCCAGTATTTTTTATCTTAAACTCCAGTTTTCCTTCTAAAAATTTAACTTTGAACCATGAATTTTTGTGAGTGTTGGACGTGAATTTTCGGAGCCCATAGTTCAAGTGTGATTCATTTTCTCACTTTTTGTTTTTCCCATGTAGAAACTTTTGTTTTTTTCATGTAGATTAAACTAGGAATGGAGGCTTATTCTATTCCTGGCTAGATCAAAGTAGTTAGGTAAGCTAGAATTGGAGAAAGGCAGTCGTGGTTGTTCGGTCTTGTTTTAACTTTCAGGTCCTCTTATATTTTGATTATTTTTCTTTTCCCCATCTTCAACTGAAGCTATTCTAACTGTGATACTATACATGCTAAGAAAGATTCTCACACTCTAGACTCTCCATTTGGTTGCTGCATTGCATGCTTAATGCATGATTAAATCATATTTTTCGCCAAACCAATCGGATGATGTGATTAAAATATCAGCTAAAATCAAATCGCAAGGAAAGGTTGCTCCATCCATCCATCATAAATGAGGACTGAATGAAGGGAAATTTCTATATCTATGTAGCTGTATCTTAGCTCGGAAGGAGTGGGCTTGATTCTGATAATGCCAGCAGTGGGCTGTGTCTTGAAATTTTGTTTATTTATTTGTGAGTACATAACAGTTATGCAGTTTTAGGCTTCTATCAGGTTGATTTTGATTGCCCCATTTTTCTTACAATTTTGATAAACTAAAAATGAGCATGTTATTTCAGATTTATTATGAGTTGCAATTAGTAAAAACTAATTAAGACCCTAAATAGTCAGAGCACGTACCTTTCTATCTAAGACACCGGTGATGCCTTTTGTTTGACACCAAGCTCCTTTTACATTCGCCTGTACTGGCTATCTATCGTCTGTTTGTGAAAAAAAATTTTCTGTGCGGACTCCTGTCGTAGCTCTACTTGCGGATCAAATTATTTTTAAGTTATTTTCAGGTTATTTCTAGGTTATTTTCAATAATACCGAAATAACCCAGAAATACCCCAAAAATAAAGACCGCGGGTTATTTCGAATAACCTACGTCGCACGTAGAGCTACGTCAGGAGTCCGGACAGAAAAAAAGCTCCTGTTTGGGACGCCATAACTTTTAGAATTTATTGATTGTACAGCTGTGGTGGGGAAATCAACGTCTTAGAAAGTTGCAGTGTAAATAATGAATATTTATTTTTTCCAAAATGTCAAACATCAGCTGTCTTATAAAAACCACATTGTAAAAGATTTTGCTGTAAAAAACAACTTACTTTTACACAAATTTTTTGTTAGTAGCAAGAAATCAGTTCCCCAAATATAATCATAATAGCAGACCGAAACACAAAGCGGACACAAAGTTATAAATTGTGAACATATAAGCCTGTAAAATGCAAGAGAAACTTTATTTGGCTCATCCAATTTCTAATGAAACTTGATTATACTCCTCAATTTTCTCTCTTTTATATTCCATAACATCCAGCTAAAATCAATTGGCCCTTCCAGTTCTCAGATTGCTAGGAGGGAGGATGAGGAGCAGCTCCTTCTCATCGAGGAAGAAGAAAGGCGAGAGAGAACGCGAAAGAAGCTCAAGTCAACTAAAAGATGATGCAGGCACTGCTGCCCTTTTTCCCTGCTTGTTTGTTAACGAAAGGCTGAAAGTGGTGCTGCAATCAGCTGCCATTTATCAATTCCATGAATAACTTTTCTTCCTAAAATTGGAGGTTTGATGACCACATTGCTTCTGAATCAACAAATAATGCTGTTGTTGTAGAGAGGTTTGTGTGCATCTCAGTAGTTGGAGCTCTAGCAGTGTATATTTTCTGAACTTATTTGGGGATGAGAAGGAAATTCTTAGAGTTCGATTATTTGAGAAACTCTTTTTTTTTTTTTTTCCTTACATTTATTTGAACTAAAAAATTCAGCTTCTTTTAGTGTTCTTGGTTGGTAGTTATTGATGGCATATGTTTTTGGATCGATGTGTGTGGATATTTTGTTTGGAAGATTTACATACACACCACTTATTTGCTATGTATTTACATATAGAACACCTAAACTTTCATTTTTACGTATGGACCACGTTATCTATACATGAGAATGTGTATTTCACTTTTGTGAAGTCGAAGTAGGGGTATTTTTGATGTGATATGAAACAATTTGATGGCATAAATGTAAAAAAAGCAAATTTACACTTTATATATGTAAATGCATAGGAATTGTGTGCTATGTATGTGCCCCATTGTAATTTTTCATTTATGTTCTTTGAGGGCATATGAATGAATACCATATAATTCTTATGTATTTACATGTCCAACAATTTAAGTTTCATATTAACATCTTTAACTTTCAAATGTTTAATATTATATTAAGAGTGTTACTATTATTTTAGAAGTGGTTTATATCTTTTAATGTATAGGTGCATGGCACTAAAGTGTTATAAACATAAATAGGTATTTGATTGGAATATAAGTAGGTTTATAATTGAGTTGAGCCGATTTGTGTATGTAATGGATTGGATTTAGTCGGGTCAAATCATAAATTGTTCATGTTTAGTTTAAGCTTAAGTTGAGTTTTCACGTCTGTTCATATTGATTTGCTTACATTTTTTAATGTTTATATTAGATTTGTATTTGACTTATTTATATTAATTGAAGAACATAAAAATTCAGATGAGTCTCTGAATTTATATATATAATTAAAAATTTTAATTTCAACATAATTTTTTCATATAAAACTAGTAAGTAAATTCAAAGTTTAAATATGCACTTAATTTTTTATGTAAAATTATTAGTAAATGATTTTAGTAATCGAACAACATGATTTTTTTTAGTTAGTTATTTTTTATTTAAATAATATATTATATAAGTATAAATCATTTATTAAGTTTCTTATTGAACAAAGAAAGAAATTGTTTGTGAACATTTAAAAACGAGTTATATTGTTCAAATTTGATTCATTTAACCATCGAGTTAAGAAAATATTCAAACTTATTTATATATTAATTTAAACATCCGTAACCGAGTATTAAACGAGTCAAATTCGAGGTGTTTATCGAATGCATTGGTTCATTTTCAGCCTTAGATAAATGGTGGCCAATCGTGGTGATGGGTGATAGTGGTAACAATGGTGTGGATCCAAGCTTTCATTGGGTCTAACTTCAACCTCTCTTTGATTGTGACTCATTGCTTTGCTAATGTAGTGTTAACATAGTGCCATGTAAATAAATTATAAAATTCAGATGATTAATGTAAGGAAGATTTTCTTACATACCACTCAATTGATATGTATTACATATCAAACGCCTAAACTTTAATTTTTATTAAAATACTCATCTTATTTATGCTAAGAACTTGTATTTCAATTTTTAAAAGTTAAAATAGTGATAATTTTGATGTGATAGGAACGATTAGGGTTGTATAAATATAAGAAGTTTAGGTGTTAAATAATAAAATTTTGGAAGATTTGCATGCATACCACCTGTATATATCTCAAACCCAAACTTCAATTTTTATTTATGAGCCATCTAATTTATGTATGAAATGGTGTATTTTATAGTTTAAAAGTTAATATAATATATATCTAGAATAAGTAAGCACAAATCTCAAGAATATGCAATGGTTTTTAGGACAAAAAAGTACAACTGAGGAGAGCACACCAGCAAAAGACGAGCAAGCCCACTTATCTTATTGGATGTAGCAGTTCGAACCAAATCCAATGTCAAAGCCGACCGGATCCAACCATTTGAGCTTGAGCTAACAAGGCTAAAGAAGACCAAATGGTCTGAGCCCGAACTAATCAGATCAATACAGGACAAATAAGGATGCAAGTTAACCACCAAAAAAGAGGCCTACCGAAGCCGTAAATTCACCCTTCAGTATACCACGCCCAAGAAAACACCCCGTCCCTCAATACCTTCGACTCTCACACAGATGCCCAAAGACTCCTCATCAAAGATCGAGAGATAACCATGTCATGAGAAGTCTGAATCATCCATCCGATTCTCCTTTTTGGGGAGTGAGCTGCCTATCGAGTTATGGTGATTCACTCTTCGCTCGATAGCTCAAAATCACTTAGCCAATAGGAACTCCTCACTAAGGATTGATGATCGATAACCAAATTGAATCAACCGATCAGCAAAACCCAACCAATCGAGTCTGTCCTGCCAACTCAAAAATCATAGGCCGATCGAAAACTTCAAATCAATGTAGCTGATGACAATATCTTACCGAACTGAAACCTATCGAGCTTAACCGACCGAGTTATAAGGTAGCCGAGCTATAGTCTCTTGCATATAAAATACCTAAATTACTCTATATCAACCCTACTAAAGTAGAAACAATGTGTAACTTCATATATCGTATCATCTATTCTATGAATAAGAGATTATTTTGTGGATATGACATGACATATTTCTGTATACTACTTTGCACTCTTCTCTCCATCTCTTTCTCTTTTCTTACATTTTATTTCCTTGAGGTATGATTTATATATAGATTTGAGTTCAACATACAATAATAATTTTAATGTGATATAAAGGATTTGAATGGTACAAGTATAGATATTTTACACGTAAATTTAAAGGTGTTGAATGGTATATATGTAAGATGTAAATGTCCCTAAAATTTTTGTACTGTATGTGTAACTATGGAATCCACGTGCCAACCGCGGTGGATCCACAGATTTCGCCCCGCAAATCAGCCGAAAAGCGCCTGCAGAGTATCCAATGATCGAAACATATAGACAGCGCTAGCACGAGTGGAGCTCGGGCTGAAATCATTCACGGTCACAAACCTTGCCGGAGCCTCGCGGCGGGCGAAAGATGCCGCTGACGAGCGTTCAGGTGTCGGAGGATGTGTGGCTGACTTGCCTGACGCATTCGCTGACCACGGAGACGGAGGAGATTATGGGCCTCCTCTTCGGAGACATTCAGGTAATCTTTTCCCCTCCTTTCTCACCGTCTTAGTTTATGATCACTTTGTTAAAGTAGTTTAATTTTGGTTGGTTTCTTTGCTCTGGCCTCCTCTCCGAGACATTCAGGTTTTGTTTTGAGTTGCTGTACAGTATTTTCATGTTTTTTTGGGTGATTGTGATTGAAAGGGTTTTGGGTTTAGGTTTCGGAGGCGATCTTGTTTCTCTCTGTAGGAAAAGCATTGTGGATATTTCACGATAACTAGTTTCTTGTTGGATACGAGGAAATATGACCGTTTTATTGATCGATATAAAGCCTTTCTACTATTGTTTTTTTTTTTTTTTAAATTTTTTTGTGGGGTGTCGGGAGATTTACACATTCACATAGTTCTTTTGTATTTACACATGTAACACCGAAAATCATAAGATTTTTTTTTTTTGTATAAATCTCAAATCTTTAATATCACATCAAAAATATCAACAATATTAACTTTTTTTAATGCACCTTTTCATTCATATATGTTGATGTGATTATGTCACTAAAGTGATATTTTTGTAAATATTAAAGTGTATGTGCTAGATGTGTAAATACATAAGCATTTTGCTGTGTGGTATGTTTTGAAGCTGGTTTTTCTAGTAGTAGAACTCTTCTTTGTTTGGTTGCTTTTATTGCTCAAGTGTCTTAACAGTTGAACTCATTTGTGGCAAATTCGCAACAGTTTGAGTTTTAATTGAGAATTGTAGTTCTCATCGTATTATATTTGTTTTGAAGTTGTGCTTATGTTCTCTGTACTATAGCTGTTCTTTGCTTCCTTTTTTAATTTAATTTTCTGCATAAATTCATGTCTGCACCACATAAGAACTTAAATTTTCAGTTGTATTGCATATTTTATTTTTAATTTTCCTATATTTTTGTATTATTCCCTACTTAAAGGGATAAAGGCTTGTTGTTGTTTTTGTATATCTTTTTGTATTATTGTTACTGTAAAAGCAGCAAATTCAGCAAGCAGAAGTCTCACTGTGTGCCTAATGTATTATTAACAGGACTACGAGCTCTGTAACTGATATTTGAGTTCATTATATGTTGCAGAAGTAATTTTTGGGCCAGGATTGAACAGCAGAGCTGAAATATTTCTTAAGCATTATATTTATTTGAACTTCATATGAATGTGGCTATGCCTGACCTCAAACTCCTACAATGCGTTTTGAAGTTGAAAGAGAGCTATGCTAACTTTCATGATGTTCTGAACTAACTATAAATGAGATGAGATACTGCTAGAAGTAATTACATTAGATTTGACAATATATGGACTAAAGTAGATATTCTTTTCTGGTTTTGTTTCTATATTAAGTTTTTTATGCCCCTTGTTTTTCGCCAAGTTTTTTGTACTCATTGTGCATCTATTCATTCCTATGTTCTTCTGAATCATATGATATTTTATGATATAGATGTAAGAAATTGACATGCAGTAGAAGGGCAATTTGGTTTTATATTCTCTGAAGTTACAGGAAAGTGTAGATTGAAGTTCATTTGCAATGCAAGTTAATTTTTTGTGGCACACCATGAGATGTGGGAGGGGAGTGACTTTGTAATGGTGTGAAATACAAAACTTGTAGATTTTGTATTTTCTTCCAATTTTCACTAAAGAGTTTAGCACTATGGTAAATTTAAAATCACAAATGAATACAATTTGTGAAAGTTGTGCTAGAAAATATGATGCTTAGAATGTGATTGAGGAATTTTTGAGATCATTAGTAATGTTAGTTCATTTAATCATACTAACAAAAAATGTTGATATGAGATGTCTCATAGAGTTTTCTATTGGAGACAAGTTCCATGAGCAAGTGTGTTGTGATGTGGTAGCTATGGATGCAGGTCACATTTTATTAGCATGATCATTGCATATATCATGATGGCTTCAAAATCACATGCTTTCACCAAAGATGAAAAACGTATTGTACTCTGGTTTCCGAAAGAGTCCAAGATAATGGGCATTCATATAGAGTTTGTAGATGTGTTTTCATGAACTTTTTTTTTGCAGGCTTTGAGAAAAGCACCAACGGGATTGATATTAGTTATCCAAAATGGTCATGAGTTCGAGGAGCTGATACCAAACACAAGGAAACCTAGTTAAGAGAATTTTAGGATTTTCGGATATATATGCTATCTTATAAATTGTCACTGCTAAGAGAGGTCCAATATGTCATTACTTCATATAGAGATGAAAAGATTTTTAGTAATTTATGGAAGATTTTATGGAATAAGTTGGATATTAAGTTTCAATTTGGTTCAGCGACATACCCATAGTTAGATGCCAGATAGGTGTGATGAATCAGAGTTTTGAAAATCCCGTGAGGTGTTTTGTGGGAAAGTATATTAGATAGCGGGATCCGGGTGTTTACAAGAAGTAGCTTCTTCTTGCTAGGGAGAATGATGTGGAGCAACCCGCGTAATTGCAGTCCTTGACCTCGCAATTGCAGAATCTCGCAAGTGGATTCGATCTCACGAACACAAGATTCTGCTGTCATAGGACCATCAATACTGATGAAACAGACAATTTTACCATCCTGCTATCAAATTCATAAATTTTGCCTTTTACTAGCTTATTTCCCATCACTTTTCTTCTAATTATTCTAGCATTAGACTATTTATATGTTTTCTATTTTGGGGATTTTTGGCTATTGTTATTGTGTTTGGAGATTCTGTTCTCTTTTTAATGCTCTCTGAAGTGTTGTATCGTCTTCTTTTTGCAAGTGACGTGTCTGTATCTTGCTCAGGAATGGTCGTGGATACTTCTTGTCGCTCCTATTTCACTATTTGGCTGTTCGACCATTGTTATTAGTCTATACTGCTGTTGAACTGCTACGACCTGCCATGTAATAGCAAATTTCACTCCATCCTCTCTTCCAAATACCATCGGCCTTGCATATTCTCTTTCCCGCTATTTTGCAATCACCTCCCCACTATATTCACTTCTTAAAAACCTTCTAGGAGTCCTATAACGGTATTATTGTGAACCAGATTTCTCATAATTGACTTTTGGATGACTACCTATTCCAATCACTTTTAGTCATTGATCGAACTAAGATTTCTTGTATATATCCAATCTCGACCAAGGCATTTTATGAGAGCTTTCTCTGTTTACATATCAGCATGAGGTGATAGATGGTTGGTTTTGTGGCTAGAATTTAAGGATTTTATTTGATATTGGATTTTAATGGATTTTAACTTAAATTTTGATAATAAATCTTTGAATTTAATTAAACAAAATCATAACTAGAGATTCTTTAGATTTATAGGAATTTAGAGGAAATTAGACCATATCTTACACAAGTAGCCACTTTAGCCCTTCTCCTTTTTCTTGCTAGAGAAAGTGATGAGGCTTTTTGTATTTCATATTTGAATGATTATTCTCTTAAGATGAAATCACCTCCTTGTCCTTACATTTGGAGAAACTCATGTCTTATGTCCTCTTATTTGTTAGAGCATTGAGCATTTTGGAGCCTTGGTAAAGCTTCTCATTTTAGTCATCTCATTTGCTAGAAGATAAATTGTTAGCAGATATGAGGAGGATCCCAAAGATAGTTTTTCCCTTTTTCATGGAAAATCCCTCATCATCTTCTATTTCTTTAGACTTTTTCCTCGTAAACAAATGAAGGAGATCAAGAGTAATTCCAAGGTATATGTAGATTAATATTTGTCCTCAGATACGACGACGACATATAAATCCCTCTCGTTTAGCAAAATCTTAATAATTTTTTTTTTTAAAAAACTCTTTATAAATTTTGTTACCAACTCTTGGATAGTGTATGCATTCCAAAGAGCATCAAGATTATTAACAATTTTATTAAATCTATTAAGGACAGAGAAATATTTTCTTAGAATTTCTTCTATATAATTATGGTCATGAACAAGCATGTTGACGTGGGACTCTTTAGTCTCATTGTTACGCTATTATCCATCATTAAATCACGAAAGAATTAAGCTACAAATTTTAGTTTAGAAACTATTATTTTGTTTAGCCAATGATTTTATGCCTGGTTCATTATGCAACAGATATAACCCGATGACATTTATGTGAATTATTGTCATATATGCATTGAGTTCAAACATCCAGATAGAGACTTTCAGACATATGTCAACGGCATATGAGTATATATGACTAACTGATGAATATATTTTTTAGTAAAATTTATATATGTCTAATTTTCTCCAAATGAACTAAAGTATAGATTGAAAAAATAAAAATATATATAAGCATTCATTAAAAAATTATGAATATTGATCTATATGACATTAATTTTATTCAACACGATGGAGTGATGAGTTTTGAGAAGAGCATGCTAACCATAAAAATTACTTTTCAAAATAGATAACAATCTAGTTGGGAAATTATCTATAAATTTATATTTTTTAAAGATAAAAGTAATTCCAAACTAAATGAAACTTCGAACTTATGTATAATATGACATAATAAACACATTCAAAGGCTTTTCAAAAAGTTCATGAGCCATAACTGCTAAATAAGTCTAAATAGAGAAAATGAGATCGATTTGATAACCAATGGAAAAATGATCAATATAAAATCTTGAGACAATTTAGAGCTCCCAAGCCAACTTCTCATTTTAACCATTCTTAATGAAACACCTAGACAACATAAGGTTAGTCTCTTGAATTGCAAACCTGATACATAGGCAAACAACTAGATGGCAACTTGGAAGACTTGTTATTATCAAATAAGTAATAGGCCATTAGGGTTTGTGGAGCTTATAGAAATGATATATATTTTCTTTAGTAGAATCTTGTTCTTTGTTGAGTTATTGAGGGCTCATACCTGAAAACAATAACACCATATGAATGAGAAAAAGGCTTGTGAGAAATTGTTTGGTTTAGTCTCACAATTATTTGGACTTTAACTATACTTTTGGTTGTTTGTGAAATGGTATATAAGCGTTCTGATTTGCTTACAATTATTTGAATGAAAGAAACAATTTAAAAGTTTTTTAAATTTAAATGAGGAATTGATTGCAACTATCATTTTTATATTCTTCTTGAATGGTGAACTTTGATTATGTTAAAAATTCGAGGTTTTATTCTATATTTTCTCAACTATATTGTTTCGTTTTGTGAGTGTATGTTCATTTTTTAATGTTTACTGTTTAAAGTTTTGAAAAAAATTGTGCAGGACTTGAACAATGGTAACAAAACTGCGCTGATATGGGGTGCATCACCTCAGATGAGATCTGATCGTCGAAAAGATCGAGTGGAGACAAATCCTGAGCAGTTGGCTGCAGCAACAGCACAGGCTGAAATATCCTTGCATTTAATATTTTTTTTTATTAAAGGGTTAATTACATTTTGATCTTAAATGAATTGTTTTTAAATGTTTACTTTTTTTTTCCGAAAACATTTCATTGTCTTTCCCCTTTGATTCTAACTAGGCTTCAAGGCTGCTTAGCAGTGACAAACTCAATTAACCCTCTCTCTCTCTCTCTCTCTCTCTCTTTCACACACAAACACACACACAAACACACACACAAGCCCAAACCCACACCCAACTTATGACGTGAAAGTCCCTTTTTTTATTGTGAATGAGCTGGGCATCAAACTCTCTATTTCCCCCAACTTTTGCTCAAGTTCTTTGATTAGTTGAGGTGAGGTCGTGGGGCTTATCCATGATTGCTCACAGTCTTTTTCTTTAGCACAGCCGGAATGCCCTTCCATGTTGCTAGTTCCCTCATACCTTTTGAGTTGGCTTGAAAGGACTGCCTGGATCCTTTTCCATAACCCCCTCACTTGGATCCCCCTTCTCACTTCCCTCTCTAAAGCACATCCTTAAATTTCTACATTTAATTAGTTTCTAATCGATGGCAAGATCTTCTCAGATAAGATTAAAACTAAATTGTTCATGATGCTAATTTAACTTGGCTCTTGTATCAATTAACCAAACTTAAAGAGGAAATTGAAATAATGGGAACACCTATTCCTAATAGGATCAATTCTAGAAATATGTTTGATACAACAGTAACAAATCCTTAATCCCACTACGTGGGGTCGGCTCATGAAATATTTTTCTTCTTTGTGTCCTATTTAGTGTCATACTTTCATTTAGTTCTAACAAATTAAGATCATTTTTTATACAATAAGCCCAAGTCTTCTTAGGTCTACCTCTGCCTTTCTTAATATAAGTCAAATATAAAACATCTACTCTCCTAATAGGATTATCAGATGGTTGGTCGACGTTTAATGTGACCAAACCATCTAAGACGACACTCTAATTTTGTCCGTCACTGGAGCTACACCAACCCTATCACAGATATATTCATTTCTCATTTTGTTTCTAAGTGTAAAGCCACTCATCCACCTAATCATTCTCATCTCGGCAACACTTAACCTAGTATTATGCTTCTCTTTTAAAGGCCAACATTCAACGCCATAGAGCATTGCAAGTCTCACCACCATCTTATAAAATTTTCCTTTCAGTTTGAGAGAATCTTTTCTATCACACAAAAGGCCCGAAGCATTCCTCCACTTCAACCAACCCACTTGAATTCTACTATTAGCATTCCGCATTCCCATCTATATCATATCACCATCACTTTGAACTAAAGACCCCAGTTATCTAAATCATTCAGACATTTTAATCTGATCACCCAAAGTTACACTTCTGACACTAGAGCTACTACTACTAAAATTACATTCCATGTATTCAATTTTAGTTCTACTCAAATGAAGGCCTTTAGACTCTAATGTAGACCTCCGTAATTGAAGTTTTTCCTCGGCTCTTTCTCTCGTCTTATCCACGAGAAGGATATCATCAGTAAAATGCATACACCAAGGTGCATCCTCCTGTAAATGTCCAGTAAAATATGTTTGATATAACTAAAAAAAAAATACAATGCAAACTTCAAAACAAAATAAACTGTCATGTTGATCTTAAAAATCACTGCTTTTTCACACTTAAAATATTTTTTTCATTTATGTTTAACTTGGGAAATTTCAACTCTAAGATTTTAGTATTTGATATTTGTCAAGTAAAGCACATAACTATCATGCTTTCTAAAAGGTAATCCGAGTCTTCATAAATGGGTTTATCATGTTAATATATAAGATACCTCTGATATCCACGATGAATATTGGATCCAATCCCATCATCTATTGTAGCTTTAGGAATAAGCTCAATTGACTTGTTTGGCAAGCTGTTAGATGTGACTTTGTAAGATGGGGAAATCTAATCAATTATGTTGAAGATGAATTGCTACTAGTGCTCCTCGGTATATTTACTTTGTAAGCATTAGCCCCAGTGCAAAATGGCTTCATTATCCTATCACCTAGTTGTAATTTCATTTCTTTTGTTTACATCAACAATAGGATTACAGATGTCATAATTCAATTTTCTATGAATATTCTCATGCAGATCATGTATGCGCTTTGCACTTGACTGTTCAAATTCCTTGGGTCTAGATTCAACCAGAGGTTCACCAAGATCTATTTGTTTACTAAGCTTATATCATGTGATAATTTCAAATGGAATTGTGCCTATAGACATGTTCACAGATGAGTTATGTCTAAATTAGCTATAAGCTGTATTGAATTCCAACCTGATGTGCTCGTTTATCATATAATATAACGAATCACTCATATTTTTATTAACTATGTTTGTTTGATCATTAGTTTGTTGGTGATAAATAGTAAGTTTTAATTGGTTCTCATTTTTTTCCATAGAACTTTTTCAGAAGTAAATAATGAGTTTGATATTTTTATCATATATACTAGTTTTCGTTATAATACATTTAGTTTAACTACTAATAAAATATGCATTTTTAAAACGAGACCAATCTTTACGAAAATATAAATGTTTTTTTTCTCAACATTCTTTGTAATCCTAGAACAAAGTTTACGCGAACATCCTCTCTAGTTTTGTATAAACTAGGTAAGGGTATATAAACTTGATATTTTGTTTTATTTTCTTGTTGGATAGCTTTTGCACCATAATACTATACATGCAACATCTCATTTCCAGTTTGCCTAATAATACCCATCTTTTGTCATGACTGCAGCCTTCTATCAAAGGAAATGTCCTGTAACACCATCATCATGAAATTCTAAGATGATGGTAATCTCTAAAAGAAAATTTAGGAATGCAAAGATGAATTCCCCTAAAATGGAGGACATTCTTAATAATGAAATCCTTATTAAGCTTTTGCGAAGAACTTGTTAAATCGAGATATTTCTTATTAAAGCCCTGTAGTTAACATAGTTCCCCTTATTGTGACTTATATCAATCACCTTAACTTGCATGGTAAGAGTGTAAACAACTCTACTTAAAACATTAGTGAGGTTATTGTTTGTCCCAAGACAATATTTTAGCATATATTTATATCATTGTCATAATTCAACCCATTTAACTTGCTTATGTTGTAATTTTTTAAGGATTTAAAGTATTTTAAATTTTGATGATTTATACAAATTGTCAAATTCCTTAGCCAAATAGTAATACCTCTAATTTCGAAATGATTGTTCAATGATATAAAATTTCCTTTCATAATTGGAATACTTATGTTTTACTTCAATTAACACACTACAATAAATAATTGAATGTTTATCTTAATTCAATACTTCAATTTCTATGACAAACTTATCCCATGAAATTTTGAAAAAATATTAAATCAGGCAATCTTAGTAATTAGTTAGGCTATTTTTTATTGTTATTGAAGGCAAGATTCTCGTGAGAGTACCCTATGGAATTTTTTATTGTGAAATGTATCTCAAATCTTTCATACAAACAATCCTTCCATCTTATAAGCAATTCATCTCTTTCTATTAGGTTTGTTTGATGGCAACCATTTCTTATATCATTATTTGAGAAAATACATCCCAATGCACATCATCTCATCATTGGAATTTGTAATTGATATTTGATAGAAATTTTTGTCAATCACTTAGCTATCCATATATGTTCTCCCACTTTGATCATTTTTGGGTGCAAGTGGGGCTGTAATCGAGCCAAGTTGAGTTGAGTATGACACTGGTTGGACTTGACTTGGTAGAATCATAAGTTGTTTATGTTTAGTTTGAGCTTGAAGACGAGCTTCAAAAATATATTTATACTTGCCCTTTCTAAAATTTTTAATATTCATATTTGACTTATATTCTACTTGTTTAGATTAATTTAAAAACTAAAAATTCAATTGAGTACTTGATTTTTTTATATTGATTTAAACATTTGATTTGTACATGATATTTAATGTAAAATTAGTAAAAAAGTTAAAATTTTAAATTAGTATTTATTTTTTTTATATAAAGTTATTAACAAATGATATTACAAATTTAAATAAATAAGTAATTGAATAAATTTTAAATTAGCATCTAACTGGTGAATACTAAGTAAACAAAATAATATATAAATTATAAGTATTTTTTTACAATCAAATAACATAAATGAGTACTAACAATATAGTTCATCAAAATAATTTTTTTTTAAAATTTTTTGAAATGTATATTCACTGTGATATTAAATTATAAAATATTACTATTAAATATATTATTAAATAAGTTCTAATTAATCAAGTTTTATTTAAATAATTTATCATATAAGCATAGTTCATTTAACAAATTACTCGTTGAACAACAAACAAGTTTGTTCATGAACATTAACAAGTGAGTTGGACTTTGTTCAAATTTGATCTATTTAAGCTCCGATTTCAAACTTATTTATTTACTAATTTGAACAAAAAATGATCGAGTATTAATCAAGCAGAGTTCAAGTTGTTCATCAAGTAGGTGCAAGTAATAAAGTAACATTAAAGTTTCGTTTGGGACAGCTTTTTGGCTCCTTTGCTTTTTAGACCGCCACCACAATTTTGTTTGGGGAATTGCTTTTCTGCTGCTTTCTAGAAAATTCTATGGGAGAAAGCTGTGTTTTTCAACTTGACTTGTTAAAGTGTGGTGACTGTCTGAAAGTTGCGGTCGGACTTTTTGAAAGTAAAATAAATTTATAATGGTCATCGTAGCTTTTTAAACAACAACTTCTTTTACAGCAGCTTCAGAGTCATTTCTTCAAAAAGCTGGACCTGGCTCAAATAGACCCTAAATGGACTTAAGCTTCCCTAATAAATCCTTTTCTTAGAAATTGATCCAATTCTGTAGTGTTAAGCTGATCATTAACTTTTTATTTCCTATACTTATTAGGTCTTGTGAATCTTTTAATTGGTTTTGGATGATAATTGATAATTCTCTTTATTAGGATATTTTTCTTCACTTCCAAGTGATATGTTGATACAACTTAATTCTTTAATATCAATTTGATGTTATTTTGCCTCAATTCCAAGTGATATGTTGATATGTCGCCTCACTTCCGAGTGATACTATAAATTTTACTTGTGAATCTTTTAATTGGTTTTGGAAGATAATTGATAATTCTCCTTAATAGGCTATTTTGCCTCACTTCCGAGTGATATGTTGATACAACTTAATTCTTTAATATCAATTTGATGTAGGTTGTTTAAAGTGTTAGGGTTCACTAATGCAACATAGAACAATAATGCATGTTAACAACTTAAAATAAGACACCATCTATTGCCAAATGGATTCCCTACAATTTATTGGCTTTAAAATTGGCAAAGTTTACAATTGATGGCCAAGACTATTCAAGATGTTTTGACCATGCAAAAACCTGCCTTTGCTTACCCTCTTTGCATTCACACAACTTGCTTACTCCGGGCCTCTTCATCTACTCTAGCACTCAGCATTCCTGGCATCCTTTAGCTCTCATGTGAGGTGTTGTTACTTCATGCGATCCAATGGTGCTATTGGTGCATTTGGGTCTAGCTTGCAACTCCAGCTCATGCACTTTGGGCCTTAGCTCTTCTCGTGCTGCTGGCACCTTTGAGCATTAGGGTTCTCACCGTAGCACCATAGCACTCTTATGTGAGCTGCTGCTGTTAGGACACTTGCTTGCTTGTAGCTCCATGATCTTTGTTTGCTCACGTGGTACATTTGGTTTATTGTTGCTTGTGATCACGCTGTCTCTAGTTTTAACGCCTAGTTTAGTAACCTTTCTTCTTCAGGCTGGTTCTTTGTTAGTTATTTTTGTTCCACTTCCACATCAGACGTCTAGCAATGTGCCTCCTTGCTTCCTTTGGCTCCATCTCGTTCCTCTCTATTTTTTCTACATATTCTGCTAATGGCTGCTTCCTCTTTAGCTGCTAACACACCTGGGATTTTGACCTATGCGCAATCTCGCACCGCCAAAAAGAAAAAAATATTTTACTGCAGCTGCAAGTGGGAATAGGGTTCCTACTATTTTGCTTATCCCCTTTTAACGCTCGCGTATTTTCAACGAGGTTTTTCTTAGCTCATCATATGCTCCAATTATTTTTTCAAGGTAAATCATCGCTCATATTTTCTATTAAGGAGATCTTTTAGTTGGCTTCTCCTTTCTCTTCTCTTTTTAGTTTTCTTGGCATCGTCCCTGCATGGGGATTATTTTCAGATTTGTGGCCAAGTTGAGATTAGTTGGGGTTCAGTTGAACTTAGGGTTTTTGTCATGTTATTATCGAAGTATTCATATAAGCTTATTTTTTAAGACCAGCCTCAAGGAGATCATCATAAGTGGATGGGTTCCCAATGTAGATGCTAAGGGGTCACCCTACCTGTTCTTCAAAACTTTTATAAATCTTTTTATGATTATGTTACTTGTTTTCTTTGTTCTACTTGACCCCTTGGAACAAATTGTCACAGACGATTGGAAGGACTACAAGGGTCATTGGGTGGTACCATTCACATCCACATATTACAGTTCTCCCATCTCATGTAGGTATGTGCAGATGGTAGACAGTAAAATTTATTTTGATGCAGCTTTATTTCAAATTTAAAATTTTGAACTTCAGTTTCTGAAACAGCAAATATGAAAAAGAAAAAAAGAAAGCAGAAAACATTTTGTTGGCTTTTTGTGTTGTTTTGTAAACTTCATGTCCTGTTGTATCTCCCTTTTACAGTTGGTGCCAATTCCACTCATGGCACATGCAACAAACACACATGCACGTACTCACTCACATGCATGAACTTACACACTACACAACATATACTAACGTACATGCCTGAGCAGGCTAACGCACTTCCACATGCACATATAAGTGTGTGCACGGACAGCATATGTACACACACTCACATGTAAAATTAACACTAGATATCTGCCTTTCTGTTGATCGACCTTGAAGAGCAGTATTTTTCCTTATACTTGAAAGGCATGTATGTGTTCCATAAGATCAGACATTTTGAATTTACTACCAAAATTTATGTCGCCTTTGTATCATAAGGGTTAGTTATGGAGTATTTAGTACCTTTTTTTTTCTGCCATCTTGTCTTGCTATTTGATGAACCCATACATATGTAACATCATTTGTAACATTTTTTTTTTAATTTTTGTGGCTTGAACCGGCAATGAGAAGGATGTGATAGGGATACATTTTTCTGAATGTGATCTCCTAGCATTGACTGTGTAGTTTATCAGCTCAGTTTGAATAATTGAAGTTTTTGGGATGCACTTTACAATATGCAATGCTGTCGACGTGAATTCAACATGAGCTTTTGGTTTTGGTTGACTATCAACTAGTTTTGTAATTTTTTTTGGGTTCTATAGTGTATTTGATGTGTCACATGAATAATTCTTAAGATGTAATGAATTTTGCATTTCTTGTATTGACGACTTGTGAACATATTGACAAGGACTATTTCAATTGCAAGTCACATAGGAATTAGTTTCACTTTAAGAATTGGAGATGGTTTGAATAAGAAAACAATGTTTATTTATGGATCAAGGTTTGTTTATTGAGGATTTCAGGTAATTTAATTCATTGCTAAATTTGAAGAATCATTGGGGTGGGCTGAGCAAGTTTTTTTTGGAGATGCTTCCTTAATTTATTTTCACAGGCTCCGAAAATTTCCATTTGATTTTCTCAAGGAAGTTGTAATTCCTAGTTAAAATTTTAGAAGGCATTAGATGTCAGATAAAAACCTACCCGATATTTCGTTCTCAGTTAACTGGAATTTTATGATTATCATAGGCGCAAGTCCTATGGCTAATTATCTTTTTTAGCAATAGGAGATTATTTTTTGATTATGTTGGGTGAGAGGTGCGAAAAATCGATTTGAGAGATCCAAAATAAAACTTTGAACAAAAGTGTACAAATTATAAATCACAGAAAACATAAAGAATACCAAAATTTAACATGGAAAAAACCGAGAATGGGAAAAAAAATTACAAGGTCACATCGCCAAGAAGTTCAGTATAAAAAATGAGGGGAATTGTACAAATTACACTACACTCAAGCCCTTCTACTCTTTGGAGCTCATGAACACTATACTTTGGAACTTAAGAACAACTCCTTTTCTTTCTCCTCACACCAAAGTCCTTTGAAATCCAACTTCTCTTCGCACACCGATCTCCAAGTGAAGACATGATTTTAAGCCTCGAACTGCCCGAATGCGGTTACTTGCGTCGGGGTGCCGTGATTGGGCGCTGTGACGCCCCTTCTTTGTGTTGATGCTCTAATCTCTTAGTGTTGGGGTGTTGACTGCTCTGTTTCTGAACCTGTACATTGACCTGTGTGGGCGCTATGACGCCCTCTCTTGGCACTGGAGCATCACGCGCTCGATTTTTATGCTTTAGGGCACTGCATCCCTCTACAGAAAAACATTTTTGGGGACAACACCCCCCCTCGAACCCAATATAGGGGATCTCATCCCCTTTACCCCCTAAGAAAACTCACCATATTCTTATTGACATTCATGAACTATATATTGATTAAGCTTGACTTGTTTAAAATTTTCAATGTTTGAACTTGATTTGTTTATAACAAGTGAATGAGTATTTAAACGAGCTAAAAATTCAAACAAGTATCCAGATTTTAATAAAAAAAATTAATAAATAATTTTATAAATTTGATCACAATTTCTAATTTATTGATTATAAATTCTAAACCCTACAATATCTAAAATTTCGTTTCTTCTCCATTTTGTCCTAAATCTTACTTAGGGGCTATTTAGTAGGCTGTTTTTTGTAGCATTTAAGCATTATTTAACTTAAATCTTACGAAACAACTAAAAATGAAAACTTTAAAACCTACAGGAACTTAAATCCTGCTTCTCCTTTTTTTTTTGCCCAAAATTAATGAAGCAGCATTAAACAAGATTTTACCTAAATCCTGCCAATAAACAAAAATGACAAAATAAAGCTCTGAAGGATTTTAAATTCCGTTTCTCCTCCATTTTTCCTGAAATCTAAGATATTGTCTAAACAACAAAAATGACAACTTTAAACCATATAGGATCTTAAATCCCATTTCTTCTTGAAAATTGGAGGAGGATTTATAGGATTTAAAGAGGTTGAAGCGCGTGAAGTGGAATGCGAAGAAGCATAAGAAATTTGAGGGTTAATTGGGTAGAATTTAGGAGCATAATGAAAAGGGGAGATATACCAGAGACTAAAATTTCGGAGATCCTTGCACGGTGCTATCTCATTGTTGCCTTCATTGCTTTCAATCTCTAACAACTCGGGATTTCGTTTGTTTCAGGCATAATTGGAAGTGTCGAAAGTGTGAGAGGCTAGAGAGAAAGTAAGGTTTGTGGGGATTTAAAATTAAATTTAAGGGAACATTTCATACATATCACACAAGTCTCATGTATTTTCACATGTAATACCTAAACTTTAATAAATAAATATTTAATTAATAATTATATATTAATAAAATAAATATATAATTGATAATTAATCTAAGAATTTTATTGATTTAATAATATATTACTATTAAATATATAATTAAATAAATTATAGTTAAATTTTATTTAGATAATATATCATATATAATACGAGCTATCATCGAGCTTATTGTCATGCATTATATATATATTTTTTGAAATAATATATCGAGTATTATCGAGCTTAATATCGAATATTTAACAGGTTACTTGTTTAACAACAAATGAGTTTGTTCGTGAACATAAATGAACAAGTTCGATTATGTTTATGTTTAGTTCATCTAAGATTCGAGTTTTTAAAAATTGTTCAAGCTTGTTTATTTTTTAATTTGAATGAACATGATTAAGTCTTAATCGAGCCGACTTTGAGTTGTTCATCGAGTGCGTTGGTTCATTTACGACCCTAATGTTGACGATGTTGGCTGGTGAAAGAGATGCTCGATCAAGTGTGTTGAGGGAAGGAGAGATCCCTCGAGTAAGGTGGCGTGTGAGGGACATGGAAAGAAGGGAGTCTTTTGTTTGCCGAATAAGCTAGGGATGACGGTTGGTGGTGCTGTTTGCGAGGGAGCATAATTGTATGGGAAGGATTTGTAGCTATGTTGAGGAAGTCAGGTGAGCAAGTGGATGACAGTGTGATTTTGGATGTGAAGGGGAGTGCCTTGGACCCAAGGATGTGTGAAGCAAAGGAAGAGAATTTAGTGTGGAGAAGATATGCGGGCTAGGGAGGAAGCCAAGAGTGAGTGAAGGATTTGCATAAATGGGATGTGGTGAGATTGAGAGAGAGTAGTTCGAGGGTTTGTTTTTTTTTCTAGAATTTTTTATTTTTTTCTTATCGTTTTTTTTTTAATATGAGAGACGGAGCAGATGGGGATGATAACTAATATGACACCAACGATGAGATTCGTGGGATGCAACTATACAAGGGAATATTAAAATGATTTTGATTTGACATTTTCTTTACAATTAATTTTTAATTAATTAATTGTAATAATAATTAGAATGGTAACATAAAAATAAAATTTAGCATATCATATTGGTTTCTATCTGAGTCAATTTAATGAGACTAGTAGCACCCAATATGTTGCATTATGTTTAATATCAAATGTATGTTGACATTATGTGAAGGAAGTTGGAACTTTGAAGAGTTTTAAATTATGTTTGAGTTTACCTACGTTCAATAATATTTTGATAATCTCTCTCCATTGCTTGTTATTTTTTGTATCAGTGTGAATGCTTTTGGAAGAAGCTTTAGATTTAGTTTACCAGACATAAAACGTGTTAGAGTTGTGCTTCTACAGATGTCCGTACTCAGGCGATGTATCAGATGCTGGATAGGGGCTTCATTGGGCTGATATTTTCTTGCTTCAGTGAGGATGCTCAGAAGGTTTCCATTTGACGTTGCTGTCTCAAAATAACATTCGGGATTTGGATTTCTATCTGTGATGTTTTTGAATTTTTTCAGGTTGGGAGAATTCAGGTTATTGCTTTTCAATCTGCTGATTTGAAACAGAGATATGAATCTCCTGCTAGAGATACAACTGTTGATATTGATACTTCTTCGAGCTGGAGTTCCTTTGACAATCCTAGGTCAGCTTCAGAATCTGCTGTTATTGAGTACATTGAACAGGACAGTGGTGACTCAAGAATGACAAAAGCAGCTAAGGTAACTTAATATTTTTGTTTTTTGTTTTTCTTTTTTAACTTCTTGTTTTCTTTCTTCTACTTGCTGAGAATTGTGCATCATCTGTAAATTAACTGTACCTTTGACATTTGGAGGCATTATGTATCTGCTTCAATAGTTGAGAAATTCTTGATTTTTCAAGACATCTGTATGATGCTGTCAAATTGACATTTGATATAACTAATTGATATGTTCTCAGGGATTTTCTAGATGCCAACTTTTAAATGAGCCTTGGGAGTGTTTGTGAGCATGTAGATCTGAAACATAGTCTTTGAAGTGGCATGCGTAAAAAAAAATTATATTTTATTTGTTGTGTTAGAAGTTATAATAGGATAATTTATTCCTGTGAGAAGTTATGAGGAATAAATTATTTCCTTAAGTTAGTAGTTATTTCCTTTCCTATTTTATATTTATTTTCTTAGATTATGAGTTATTTTCTTTCCTATTTTAGGTTTTCCTATTTTATAATTTTTTCTTTATCTCCATTTAATTAATAGGAATTGATTAATTGGAGATTTAGGAGTTATAACTTTTCTTTCATATTATTTCTTTTATTTCTTTCATATTCTAGGATTCATGTAAGGGTTCTTTATACCTCTTTTTATATCAATAAAAATATTATGCTTTATTCCTCATTATTCTAAATTTTACCATGATATCAGAGTCTAATTTTGTACCCTAGCCAACGATCCTCCTTCTTGAACCGCCGAACTCTTTCCTGCCATCCTTTGTGTGGGAAGGGAGGGGCACTCGTCTTTATTTTTGAAACACCAATTTCTCTTCTTCTCTCGCTGCAGGGCTTCCAGTTTTTCCTAACAACCATCCTCTCTGGTTGTTTTTTCTCAGTTGCTGGCCTGTTCTGCATCCGACCAACCCTTCCTGATTTCCTGTAGCTTATTTTCTGTAGGAAATTTCTACCACCTGACCTAGATCTGCCGTCAACCAATTTACTGTAATTTCTCAGCCGATGTCCTGTAATTTTCCACTCGATTTCCTAGAATTTCCCTGAAGGTTCTGTCGCTGCTTCTTACCGCAGTAAATTTCTAGGTTTCTGCCGCTGTTCCAAGGATTGTTTTAGTACGCTGCTCCAGGAAACGACCAATTTATGGTTTGTCGAGGCCCTTTCTTCTGTTTACAAGCATTAGAGGATTTTTCTGGAGATGCTTTGTTCGCAATGAAAACCAAGAAGCGAAATGACTATTCTCATATCATCTCTTGTTCAAGAAAATCCGTGCTTTAAGGTTTTTCAGAAATTTGTAAAACCTTCACATCTTCTGCTAGCAACTGAGGTGACCATATATCCCATGCATGTTTCTGAAGGGATTATTTCTTCTACGGAATTGGATCAGCTTAGTTTGTTCTGCATAATCGAGTTGTGCACAAGCAGAGACTTTGAAACTTGTTTCAGAGATCTCAATGCTGCAATATTGCTATGTCTAGTAGATGAGAACGATAAATCAATTATGCAAATGATATCTGCTCTTTCATTAGAGCACCCAAGAAAGGAGAATGATATGATAATCTCTTAATACTTCCACTTCCAGAGAGGCTCTATTGATATTGTCACCTTTAAAATCCTACTTGCAGCCTTATCCTTCCCTAGAGGATCTCCCGTCACCAGTTGTTCCTCCTGCAAGAGAAATCCTTGGATGGTGGCACTGATGTCTCGGAAGCTGTTGGAGTTGCGGCTGCCCTTCTGCAAACGACGATAAACCGATGGATCTGACAGACCTACTCACAAAGGTACCTCGACATCCTTGAGAAAAGGAAGACACTTCCCGTGTGGTAGCAGAAAGATGAGTTCCTTCGAGTTCTTCGTGACAACCAAACCTTTATTCTTGTTGTGGAAACTGAGAGTGGCAAGACCACCCATATTCAATTTTTTTTGGAAGAGAAATTCTTAGAGAAACGTCTTGTGGTCGCTTGCACACAACCTTGCAGAGGGTCTGCAATGTCTGTTTCTCGTAGATTTGCTGAGGAGATGGGCCTAGCAATTGAAGAAGCGAGAAGCAATGGCTAACCCCTCTTTTAGAGAGGGCCTTCCCGCTTGTTTTTTAAACATGTTTCCTGCAGCAGTAAGACTTTAATTTCCGCAGGTCCCTACCGTTGGAGGTGCAGCTTTTCCTGGAGGTCCTTCCCGCTATTTTTTTGGCGCCTGTTCCCTGCAACAGTTCGACTTCCTTCATTCCAGCATTCTGCTTCACTGATTTCCAACAGCCTGGCTTCCTAGTTTCTAGTAGGTCGGCTTTTCTGATTTTATCTAGGCTCTACTCCAGAATTTTTTCCTATATCGGACCCTCCTTCAGAGCTATATCTGCAGCAAGTCCACCAGAATTCTTCTTGCAGCAGACCCTCTTCCAAAGCGTTTTCCTCCATCAAGGCTTGCCTCTAGAGTTATTTCCTTTTTTTTAAAGTCATATCTTACAATTTTTTCTGTCGGTTGTCTACTTCCCTACAAACTCTCATGCAACATTACATGTAGGAGCCTTTTGCCTACAGACACTACAAGAACGACAGTCAATGACAACCACAATCAACTAAAAGCCAACTTTTCCTGCAATAAGCTCTGCAAATTCCCCTATAACATTATTTGTAAGAGTGTTCCACCTACCTACAGACATTGCAGGAACTGCAGTCGAAGACAATAATAGTACGGGATGAAGACTTCAATTTCTTCCTCGCCCATTGTTTGATGTTTTAAAATTTAAGTGGAACATGGTTTTCAACCATATTTTAATTTGAGGGTGGTGTTAGAGGTTATATTAGAAAATAATTTATTCTTATGAGAAATTATGAGAGATAAATTATTTCATTATATTAGGAGTTATTTCCTTTCTTATTTTATATTTATTTCCTTGTATTAGGAGTTATTTCCTTTCCTATTTTATATTTATTTCCTTGGATTATAAGCTATTTCTTTTTTTATTTTAGGTTTTTCTATTTTATGTTTTTTCCTTTATCTCCAAATAAGTAATACGAATTGATTTTTTGGAAATTTAGGAGTTATATTTTTCCTTCGTGTTTTTTTTTTTTTGTTTTCTTTCATATTCTAGGATTCATGTAAGGGTTATTTATTTCCCTTTTCATATCAATAAAAATATTCTATTTTTTTCCTCATTATTCTGGATTTCAACATGATGTTTCTTCAAACTTTATTTGTTTGGTTTTGGGGCTGAGGTTTGATATTTTGTACGATAAAGATATTTGTCAAAGAAATGAGGACGAGTTAAGACCTTTTGTGAACATTAACTCACATTCCTATCATTCAGTTCCTGACCTCTGTTTGAGGTGATCTTATTGCTTATCTAAAATTTATATTGGTCTTACCCATTCTAATGACGTTCTTATGAGATTAGATGGTCATGTTATTTTTTAGATATTTCTTTCATTTTATTCTATTGCTGTAAAATCCTTTTCAATTGATTTTATTTTTGTTATTTTCACCTTCCAGCTTCCACCTTCCCTTCATCCATTTTGTTCACAAATTCCTTCAAGATATGAGATGAGTTGATATAATTTTCTCATAGCCTTTGTGTTGTTATCTTGGGGTGGGCTTTGACTGGGCCTTGCACCACATTTTTCTTGGAAAATGAAACAATAACTCAAGTTCTATGGAAGATAAACTAGGTATAGAGACAAGCTTTCCATAGATTTCCCCTAGGAGGAATGTGTGACTTTCCTATGGTTTATTTTGATTTGGGGGATTGAAATTTTTTGTATGCTTATGATTAATTATATCTTAAAAAATGATGCTTGTAATGTTCTTGATTAAGCATGTCACTTATGTTTGCATTCATTTTTCACAGTTTAAGGCTAAAATCTAGTTGGTTCATCAAAGATGTGCCTGACACGAAATGATGAAGACCAAAAGGGCGAACAAACAAAGGGACCCCTACTTAGTAACCAAGTACTTGAAATAAGATGAGGTATGGGTAGTCTCACAATCTCTCAAGTGTAACTCATAAACCAAATAAACCAAATAAACCAAATAAACCAAATAAACCAAATAAACAAATAAAATGTACGAATGATTCATGGAAGTGGACTTCTAGATAAAGAGAGAGGACCTTTAGCAAGGTGCAAAGCGATGGTGGTAAGAATCTCAGTGTATCTGTATCTGTTTCATTCATCCCCACCTAGTAGTGGAGTCCTCTCATGCATAAAGGTTGACTGAAGATTGCGTAGCAAAGAAAGATTGCTTTTTTCAGGAGCCCGAGGAGCCCGCCGATTGTGATTTCACGTCTCGCGCCGGTGCCCAATTGAAATTTTTTGTGGAGATAGAATTGCATATAACATTTTTCTTTTGATTGATTGAATGTGAATGAAGGCCGAGACTCTGAATAGAATATTGTGAAACTTAGATCCTACAACTTGCTGGGAAAGAGACGATCGGAGCACGGAGAGTCAGAGCTGGCTGTGAAAGATTTGAAGCGAAGGATTGCGATGAGTAGAGACCCGAAGCTCCCATCTTTTGCCTCCTCTTGCGCGCGTACAGTCGTGTGCAAGGCAAATGACTTGGAATTGTGGTATGCAGAAACCTAAAATTTCCTTCGATTTCTTCTTCCCGCTCTGTCCTCGGGAAGGTAGTCGTGACTGGTGTTTGCGGGGAAGGTCGACGAGATCGTGGGACATAGGGAAAGCTGACAAGATTGCAACACACAAGAAGTGCCTTCTTAACCGTTTTTTACGTTGTACAAGAGGGTGGCAACAACAATACAATTGCGACAAGAGCTTGCTAGGAAGGCGACGATGGAGCTTCCATCTTCTATGAAGACCGATGAGTTAAGCTTGTTGGCAGTCTAGAGATTCGAGCTGATTTTTATGGTCCTGATTTAAACAAATCACTAGATCACGACATACAAGTAGGACTGTCAAAATGGCTCGTTGTTCGCGAACAGCTCGTGTTCAGCTCGTTAAGAAGCTCGTGTTCGGCTTGTTAATTTCGTTTGATAAGTTAACAAGCCGAACACGAACTAAGATGT